GGAAGAATAATTTGGCCGTCCCCAGTGTTTCTGTGTTGACTAAAGGAAGTGGAAGGAAAGGAAAGAGGGGAAAAGGTTGTAATTTGGACTCTGGTAGATGTGCCTTTGGGAAAAGCAGTCTGGCCTACGGAAGCCCAGCAGGCCCATAAATCACCCGGCGAGCCTCAGGCTCCCAGGAACCCTCTGGTAGTGACCTTCAACTCTTTCCACCGTGTATCCCAGTTCTCTTTCATTTCTAAGACTTGGGTCCATCTTGAATCAAAGGTAATTCTTCTTCATTCCCATTTGATCAGAGCTTCTCTGCAATCAGCAAAGAACAGTACGACGTTCCAGAGCTTTTATGATGTTACAGAACTGTGCTTTTACTGTATATAGTAAAACCCTTTAGGCACAGTCGGAATGCATGTTCATTAGCCTTTTTTATTTCACTGGATTTGTTGAATATTTCAGAAAATTAGCCCCGTAATAAAGGTTTATGATTCATAAGATGTTTTCCTCATCAAGATTTGTACAAAAGACCATATTTTATGCATAAATAGAATTAACAAGACTAATGAAGATACACTGATGGTATAAAAGTTTAAGAAGTGTGTTTGTTATTTCAAGAAATAGAATTGAATGGAGTTTAATGACCAAGTTGTTCACCAACGACTTTTGGGAAAACAAATAAGCAAACTTTTATTATTTTTAACAATACGAAAGGTATCACCCCTCTCCTGCCCCCGCCTGACAGCAGGGCACGACACGCCCACTGCACTTTTTTTCAAAGGCAATATAAGTCTGTTTTTATTCCCCCAAACTAGACGTGGTGTCTGGCTGTACCGCTAGCGCTCTCACTCAGTACAAGCAAATGTTTTTAATGCAAATTTTATTTAAAAAAAAAACACAATCAATGTTTCCTTTGGGTTAAAATCCATGTTATTGACATTTCTAGTGCCATTAACTGCTGACTGAGCTCCTGGAAAGACCTTTGGTAAATTAAATTAGTAAAATAGTCAATGAATTACAAGATATTGATGAAGAAAACAAGTTTTTTTACGAGACAACTGTCCGCGTTGGCTGGTGTAGGGACAATCTGAGAAGTTTGACTAGCGCTTGTCTAATGTTAAATGTGGAAAAAGAGACGTGCTTGTTCCTTAAGCCTTAAACTGACAGATACAGAGCACACGTCCCCCAATGGAATAACCCCTGATGGTGTTTGAATATGGAGTCTTGTGTCCTTTTATCCCCTCGTGCCATTGATCAGTCCCACAATAATGGCTGCCTCCTGAGGTTATCAGACCTCTCCTCGTCCCTGAGGCCTACAACGAGCCCTGTGCCTTTTCTCGAGGGGCATCTTGCGAAAGCCGTCCCTAGCTTTGTATTTTCGGGTCTTATCCCCTTGTGTGCTTCATAAAGCTTCTCAGTTTCCCCACACTTTGACTGGAAGTCCAGAGAGAGTTATCTGAGAGCTGCGCGGAAGTGAATAATTGTTTCCGAGCTTGAACGGGGTGACATCTCAAATTCTTCCTTCTGCGCTCGTTCTTCTGTGTTGCTAACACATTTCATTTCAAATCCCTTATGCATTGAATTTCTCCGTTTTTTTCCCCCTTTCAGATTCTGCTTTCATTCTTGATATTAATGGCTGAACTATATTTTTAGTGAAACGATTGTTCTGCTGGTTCCACCAAGCTGTTGCGACAATATCGCAGTGTTATTTTCATCTTCCTGCCTGCTTCCTGTCGCTGTTTGCATATCTCATGTCTGTTGTATATAAACAGAACAAACTGTGAACATGCAGCAGGTTTTTATTAGGTTTGGCTTCCTGAGTGAAAAATGGCTGTGTACAAGATTATATCTGCACAAAGCTTACGGTGCTTCAGGGTAACACTGACTGTTTTGTGCAGGGATGCATGGCAAGTGTGTGACGATGGAAATGGAACACTTAATATTTATTCGTTTTATAGTTTGTACAGTTTTGTACCCTTTTTGTCCAGTTCAACATCAATTGATCTTTTGGAAGGAAACTTGTGAACTGAATTTTTCTTTCATTTTTTTTAAACCCATAAAGATTTGGAAAGCCCAATAAAGTGCTGTCAACAGCATCCAATCTATTTACAGAGCTGGGTTTGGGTGAGATGATTAGCTAATAACAGCTAATAATGTTAGCTAACAGTTTGTAATGTTCCAAGCTAGTAATGATAGCCAAAAATGTTAAATCTTCCCAGTTAGTAATGTTGGCTAACAGTCTGTTTCTAGCTTGTTGTGCTAACCGTTTGAAATATTGTCAGCTAGTAATATTAGCTGACAGTTTAAAATGTGCCCATTTAGTAATGCTAGCTAACAGTTTCAAGTGTGTGCAGCTAGCAACATTAGCTAACAGTTTGGAATGTGCCCAGCTAGCAAAGTTAGCTAACAGTTTGAAATGTGCCTAACTAGTAATGTTGGTTAACTTTTGAAATGTACAAAGCTAGTAATGTTAGCTAACAGTTTGAAATGTACCCAGTTAGTAATGTTGGCCAACCTTTGAAATTTACAAACTAGTAATGTTAGCGAACAGTTTAAAATCTGCATAGCTAATAATGTTGGTTAACTTTTGAAATTTACAAAGCTAGTAATGTTAGCTAACAGTTTGGAATGTGTCCAGCTAGCAAAGTTATCTAACAGTTTGAAATGTGCCTAGCTAGTAATGTTGGTTCACTTTTGAAATGTACAAAGCTAGTAATGTTAGCTAACAGTTTAAAATCTGCATAGCTAATAATGTTGGTTAACTTTTGAAATTTACAAAGCTAGTAATGTTAGCTAACAGTTTGGAATGTGTCCAGCTAGCAAAGTTATCTAACAGTTTGAAATGTGCCTAGCTAGTAATGTTGGTTCACTTTTGAAATGTACAAAGCTAGTAATGTTAGCTAACAGTTTAAAATCTGCATAGCTAATAATGTTGGTTAACTTTTGAAATTTACAAAGCTAGTAATGTTAGCTAACAGTTTGGAATGTGTCCAGCTAGCAAAGTTATCTAACAGTTTGAAATGTGCCTAGCTAGTAATGTTGGTTCACTTTTGAAATGTACAAAGCTAGTAATGTTAGCTAACAGTTTAAAATCTGCATAGCTAATAATGTTGGTTAACTTTTGAAATTTACAAAGCTAGTAATGTTAGCTAACAGTTTGGAATGTGTCCAGCTAGCAAAGTTATCTAACAGTTTGAAATGTGCCTAGCTAGTAATGTTGGTTCACTTTTGAAATGTACAAAGCTAGTAATGTTAGCTAACAGTTTAAAATCTGCATAGCTAATAATGTTGGTTAACTTTTGAAATTTACAAAGCTAGTAATGTTAGCTAACAGTTTGGAATGTGTCCAGCTAGCAAAGTTAGCTAACAGTTTGAAATGTGCCTAGCTAGTAATGTTAGTTAACTTTTGAAATGTGTGCAGCTAATAATGTTAGCTAACAGTTTTAAATGTGCCCAGTTATTAATGTTAGCTAACTTTTGAAATGTACAAAGCTAGTAATGTTAGCTAACAGTTTGAAATGTGCCCAGTTAGTTATATTGTCTAACATTTGAAATACAGAATGCTAGTAATGTACTCAGCTAATAATGTTAGCTAATAATTAGAAATGTACCAGGTGGAACATTGTCAGAGCTTCTCTGGTTGATTAGGTTTATGAAGACTCATTATTCAAAGGTCACTTGTGAAAAAATAATTTTTAGGTGTAAGTTTTGTTAAATTAGACAAATCCAAGGAATAGCTACTTTTATGTTTTCTGTTGTTTATTGCTGAGAATTAATCTCTACCATAAAGCTGGCAAATGTCACTTTTGAACAAATATTTTTCCTCTTCAGTGTCCTCTATCCATCACTGTCCTCTGCTCTGCTGCAAGATTTTAATTGTGAATCTTGCGGCCGCTAACAGTCCCCAGTCTCATCTTAACAGAGCCTGAGACACCAGTCAAAACTTAACAGGCCCCGAAACAAGCAGAGGTCTAGTCCTCCGAGGTCCATTCCTCCACCGTAGAGAGTCCGCTTGTTATTTTACAACCGCAGCCGACTACATCTGTGAATAGTGCTAGAAATTAATTAAGCTAATGCCAGGAAATAAAAGTTGTAGGCCAAAGTCAGCAGGAGAGCCTCTTCTTTGTATTCACGTTATAGAGGACGTTTATAGGTCTGGGTGGAATGCAATATTGATTCCATAAAAGGTCAGTCGAAGTGAAGGGAGAAATAGGGTGATTACAGATGAATGTGTCTCTGCGTACCACAATCATAAGGAAGTGCCGCGTATATTGGCAGAAAAAATGTCAATAACGGATCTCCATGAGAGGCTCTCTGCAGATATTGGTTGTCTAAACACTTCTTCGATCTAAATCAATAAGTCTATGTTTTGGTAAATAGTTCTCTATATTTTAAAGCCCGTTGTGGAAAAAAAAACCACGGTTTATTGTTTCATTATCTTCAGAATTGAATTCAGGTGTTTTCTGTTGATTTCTTTCTTTGTGTTCATTGCCTTTTCACAAAAGGGGTTCTATTTTTTTGTCATCCTTCCTGGTTTTTCTCAAGGCATTAGTGAAATGGCATTTAAGGTTGAGTTTGTCAAACGAGGAAATGTGGCTCCATCAGTCACCGGCGTACGTGTTCCCCACAATCACCACAGCTGGGTTATGTCATTTGAAAGGTGTTATGACAAATCTCACAGTGTCTTTCTGACTTCACTGAGCACTCAACACTGTCCTTCAGGTGGAGAACGAGTCAGAAAAAAAGATTGATTTTTACCAAACAGAGCTGCTCTCACTTAAGTTGTCCTTTACCTCAAGGAAGAGTTCTCCGATTGCTTCCTGTTTCCATTTTTATAGTCCATTTAATGTCGTTATTCCAGAGAATATAGTGCATTCAAACTTGCTAGTGTTTGTATCCACTTTGGTTAAATTGTTGTATATCATGCCGTTTTCAATACATTTTGAAGCAAAGTTTGGATGAGCATCTTTTACCACTACTTTCTAAATGACCACATCACTCCAATCCTGTGTTTTCCTGTGGATTAGTCAGTAGAGCATTGCGCTAGCAACACAAAGGTCATGGGTTCTATCCCTTAGGGAAAGCAAGAATTAATGGAATGTGTTAATTGCTTGTAATGTAAGTCACTTTGGATAAAAGCGTAATAGTAATGCATAAAGGTAAACGTCTTTAAAGCTGTAGTAACATGACCAAGTAGATGTGAGGCAGTTGGAAACCCACCTCAGGGACATCACAGATTAAAAAAAACTAACTGGTATTAAAAGCTCACGAGTCTTAAGGGTGAATTTCTCATGAGAGAGCTTCCTGCGGCATGGCTGTCCTGACATAAACTGCATTGGTCTACAGTCTCTTGGGACAGAGGTGTAAACGCCCGATGTCCTGTAATTCTAACTTTTCAGGGGCGGCCGAGGAATAAGAGGCCTGACCCCACGGTAATCAGCCTAGACGGGCTGCCCTCTTGGTTCAAATTTCCAGTGCGGGTGTTGTCCAACTGGGCCCAGGGATTCTACCTACTAGCCATGCGCCAATGAGCAACACTGATTGCAAACCGCACCCTCTCACAGGCTATAGATGATGTAGCAGTCTCCTTCAGTATGTTTTTATTTGGTAATTTAGATGTTCAGGTGTACACTGATGAGGAAAAGCCTTGTTTGCTTCAAGGAAGCTCTACACGAAAATGGGAAGTGTTTGCAGTTAATCTGATTGGTTAGCGGGTGGGAAAGGAAATCAATGACTCTTCCTTGAGCCTTTTTGAACTCCCCAAAATTAGTAAGATTACAAAAACATATGAGAACGACTATAAATACAAGTTTGGACATGTCTCTGTTGAAGGAAAAGTGGTAAAATGTTGTAGAAAGTTCTAAAAAAGTCGATTTTGCATGACTAGGCTCCATTAAATCAAATAAACACACTCTGTCTGCGACAAACACAGTATGGTATTACGATAGAACAGCGAAAGATTACGATTTGCACACAAATTTAAATAGTAACAAACTATTTCTGATTTAACATCTGTTTTTTTCTGCAGCCATCTCCATACTTCCTGCCTGTGTTTCAATAAGATCATATCCCTTTTCCCTTCGAAATAAAAACTTAACAGAAAGATTTTCAGTCTCCACAAAGAGCCGCAGTGACTTAGTCGAGAGAGTGCAAGTGTAGATTGAGGATCTAGAGACAATGGTGAGTTATTCATGACAGAATTACCCTGGGCTAAGTGACAGGAATGGCTCAGATAGCAGGGTGTGTATATGCTTTGATTAATGGAAAGAATGAGTGAATGTGACAGCACAAGTTATCAACGGGGGGGACGCTCTTTCTGACGACACTCTGTGTTCTGGGGTACTCTTGGATCCATTTGTGTTGGTTTTACTCAACAATTACTGTTGAATCACACGGCTGAGCAGCTTTTTTTGGGGGGGGGGTACATCTCAAAAGGAAATCAGTGCGACTGACTCCGCTATAATTACAATCTATTTGATCCATTGACAGTAGAGCACGAATACAGAGATCAAGTGATTTTCAGAAGAAATGCTACATACGTTATAGCTAATTAAAAGAGCATTTTCTTCAATGGAACTGTATATTGTATCTTTTAATGGACAGACTTTGAACACCTAGAAGGTTCTACAGATTTCTTCCTTGATTATGTATACAGTGCCCTGTTCAGTAGAAGAGGAACATTGTGTGGGCCATGCAGAGTGACAGGAAGTGATGAATACGACTCTTCCTCATGTCAAGGATCTCATCGTAGGACAGGTCATCAGCCAATTAAACCTCCGTCCTGGTTCCTCCGCCGTTTCTGTCTTTCTTCCACACATTGCTCCATTTTAATCAGAGCGCACTTCTCTTTCTCCCACTCACACCATCTCTTTCACGCTGTCTGTCTCTGCGATTTCAACCCTTTGCTCGTTTCCAAACAATGCACGATTCAGATGCAAATTTCAGAGGCCAATTATGCATTGATGTGGTTACATTTGTATTTGTTAAAAGGAGATTTTGATTGCTCTGCAGACTGTCGAGGACCGAGCTTTCTCCTGCAATTTATCCTATTACAGTATTGGTTGAATAGATTAGATTTACCATTTTTTACAGAAACATGCCCTTTTTTGGTGAATCTATGAGAATCACTTGGGTAAAAGCATTAAGTGTCTCTTGTCTAAAGACGACTTTTGTGATTATACCATGTTTTTAAACATTTCTTTGTCATATTCTTTCTTCTACAATTTTCTTACAATACATTACGTTACGGAAGTGTTATCTTACACCATATTACGCTACATTACGTAACGCTATGTTACGGTTCATTACCTTATGATACGTTGCATTACATTGCGTTATGTTGCGTTATGTTACACTATGTTAAGTAACGTACTATGTTGCGTTACGTTATGATACATTTTATTACAGTTAAAAGTTGAGTTAAGAAACATTGTTATGTTACAATAAGCTACTTTATGTTTAAGATTACCCCACTTCTCCCCCAATGTGCGCTGGATATAGGCACCAGCAGACCCCCGTGACTCCAAAAAGTGAATAAGGGGGTTGGAAAATAAGTGAACGAATGATGAAGATTACATTATGTTTTATAATGTATTCAAACTTGTGGCATTAGAAATATATTTAGAAATATATTAGAAAAATCACAGCCAGTCAATCTTCTTCTGAAGACACTATATATGGCTGAAGTCAGGTAATGAACAGTTGAGTGGGGTGTGCCTCAGGTCTTAGTCCGGGGCCCTTTTTGCTTGATGCTCTGGTTCCAAAGGGAGGTGCTATTCTGCTACAATAGGCTTTTTCGCTCCTGACTTTGATGTATAGCTCATTTTGGGTCTTTTTCTAGCAGTCTGTGATGGATGGCTGAGATGGTGATGTTCTGTCCTGCCGCTCTAGTCCTCTTGACACTGAGCTGGTGGAAATCCATCACTGTCCAGAAACATTCGCAGACCCCTCGTAGAGGATTTCAGCAGTGGTCGCACCAAACCATTGCACTAAACACATGCATCAGTGCCGTCCACTGTAGATCCTGCATTGATGAAGGTTTACAAAAGGTTAAGTGCTCCTGATTCAGAGGTTGATTTCTATGATGCGTAAAGTGTTGTGCCTCGGGGTGAAACGCGGCACTTAGTGAAGGCCTCCACTGTCCCGCACTGGCTGCTATAACACACTCTCCCTCGGGGGTCAGAACGCTTGACACTTCCGTGCTTATGGGCCCATTGGAGGCTCTGTGGAAACAGAGATGTTTGAGGAGGTACGGTAAACCCTTGGCTGATGCAATATTCATGGCTCTCAGGGTAGCCTGCAGAAATATTATTGCCCTAAATAGTAACAGGAAACAGCAGACGGTTAAACTCCTCAGGACCTTTCCACTTAAACCTGAAAATTGAACATCTTTTCTCACTATAAATGATTAAGGAAATCCTCCAGAGAAATGTTCTGTTATGTTTTCACATTGCAGTTCAGAATCTGAGAGAGAGAGAAGGGTCTTGCTGAGAGATTTTTTTGTCGTCTAAAGTAAAGCAAAGTTAATTAAGATGTCCGTTCAGCACAAATTAACTTTTGACATTTTGCCAAAGCATTATGGGAATGTTTCTGGTTTACAAGGATTTCCATATGGGTTTATTGATTATGAAAGCATTTACCAGAATGGTTTAAGACGTGCATAAACCTACAATAATAAAAGTACATGCTCGCCAGAGCCTCGCTATAAATCATTATAGTGACATTTCCGGGCACTGCACTAATGCAGCATCAGGCATGAAATCAGTGATAGAAAATGCTATATTTTATCAAATATTCCCCTGAATTTCTGTTTTCTGGAGCTTGTGAAATCATCAAATATCAATTTTAAATAAGCATTTGATCATTTTCTCAAATAGAGTTTTTTTTCATTCAGTCGGTGTAACATATTTATGAAACCCCTCCCTAATAGGAGATATCAGCCAATCACAGTCAAGTATGCAGCAATCAAATTTTAGCCTTTTTATGTTTTTTTTTCATTGCTTTTTTTATTCTAAAGTATGCACAGGGTTCATCTACTACATCCCCAGGAGCTTGATGGTTTAGCCTAATAGTTATAAAAAAACTATATATATATACATATACAAGTGAATGTTTTTTTAAACGTAATAATAAAAGCTAAATGGATTATTTCTTATCATTTTGAATATTGTTGTCTTCATATTATAATGGATGTATTTGAAGTCGAAGTGTCCATCCGTTGTTTGATAAATTTCAGATAAATACATTTACTCATATTTATTATATAAATTAATCAAGAGAAAGTGTCAAAATACTACTATTTTAATTCATTTTTCTTATAACTTGAAATATGTTTTGCAGTCCCAATAGTAGAAGATATTGGCCAATCACAGTAAAGTATGCAAATCAGGTTTTCACAAGCGACTTTTAATAATGAGCGCCGACTTATTTTAGTTTTACATCTTCCTTTATTGTTTTATATTATGTTTATTCTTGTAAATAATGGTTATATATTTTACAATTTTTTTTTTTTTTTTTTTAGATAAAACTTGCCTTCGGAAAAGCTTTTGTGTTGTTTCCTCTGAGAGCTTCCTTAGAATCGCAAGTTTACGAATCAAAGGTCAGAGTTCCAAGAAAAAAGGGCCATGGACGTGATTGTGACATAGCATTGTTAAATGGTAAATTGCATTCTCGTGTTTTGAGCGATTAAGTTGGTGCTGGAAGCTTTTGCAGTCTCTTCCGACAGGTGCCATGACGCTTCTGTCACAGCTTTCCGCCGGGGCTTTTTCACTTTAGCGTTGTGTTCCTCAGTCCCATTGATTTTTACTGAACAGGAGACAGGGAGAGAGAGAAGCCGTGCTCGGTGGGACTCGTCCCGACACCCTGTCTCAATGCCATGTCAATACCTCAAAGGTGCCGCAGACAGATCCTTTTCTCACTTTTGTGCTCTCTTTCACACACCACGTGGATCTTGTCACATCGATAGCATTCTGTAGCAGCTGAGACTGGCGCCACCTTTTTATTGAAGCCTGTCCCATGCCAGAAATAAAGAAAAATCACTGGCGCAGGAGCTCTGCCTTTGCCAAAGGCCACAGGCTTTGATTAT